CAAAAAAAAAAAAAAAAAAAAAAAATTCTGCCACACTGATGCACTGGGAAACCTGTTGGACTAGGAGTCAGCCAATGTATGTTTTAGCCTGGCTCTGCCATTACCTGGCTCTATGCTATTGAGAAGTCTCCCCTTTTTGCTGAATCTCTGGGCTCTGATTTGTAAATCGAGGGGTTGGGGTCTGATGTGATTTGTGGTTGCTGCCAGCTCCAACACCCTAAAATCAGGATAACATGATGAAGAAGACTTTGGAACAGGATTACAGAAGAGGGGAGGTGTGAAGAGCATCCTGGCTTCCTTCAGATATGCCTGCTGTAACGAAGCAAACACAGCAGCACCACCCAGAAAACAAAGCCAGAGTCTAATATTTATTCAAGCAGTGGTTTCAATATGTGGAAATAAACACAGCTGAACAAGGTTTGGAAAGAATGGGGGTGGAAAATGAAAAGAAACAGTTAGGTTGGTCGGGATTGTGTTTTTTGTTAATTTTTAATTTTGATACTATTGTCATAATGATGATGATACCTTTTCAAAATTAAGTCAGTTCCTAAGAAAGAATCTGAAAATGATCAAAGGGGGAAAGCCAAACGTTTGCTTTGCTTTTCACTTACCACAGCGCATCACACTGTTTGCATCACAGGTGGCTCCAGAGGTCTTCATGGTCATGATGTCCCCGTAGCAGCCGTGGTAAAGGCGCGGATGTAGGTGAGGGTTCATTGAGTGAGTGAAGGGGTACGAGCCCCTGGAAGTGCCTAGGTGGCAGAAGCGTAACTCGCATGAAGCCTGTGAGAAGATGCTGCTTGGGTTGATGCAATGAACATCACTAAACTAAAGGTGAAGGCCACAGACAGAACTGCCCAATTCCCTTGTTGCCGTTGTTTGTTCATCAGACAGAAGTTCCCCAATATCCACTCTGCTCTGATCTTTCGTTTTGCTCTGTACCAACACAGCACTTAATCCTAAAACACTATGCAAAATATTAGAAAATTCATCTTTTTTTTTTTTTCCAAGACAGAGTTTCGCTCTTGTTGCCCAGGCTGGAGTGCAATGGCATGATCTCGGCTCACCGCAACCTCTGCCTCCCAGGTTCAAGTAACTCTCCTGCCTCAGCCTCCCAAGTAGTGGGATTACAGGCATGTGCCAGTGCAGCGGCATGACCATAGCTCACAGCAGCCACCAGCACCTGGGCTCAAACATTTGCTGAGAATCCCAGCTTCCTGAGTAGCTGGAACCGCAGGCACACACCATCATGCCTGGCTTATTTTATCTTTTTGTAGAGATGGGGTTTTGCTATGTTGCCCAAGCTAGTCTCAAACTCCTGGGCTCAAGCAATCCTCTCTCCTTGGCCTCCCAAAGTGCTGGGATTACAGGCACTGTAGTCATACCATGCTGTAGTCTCACTCAGAATTAAAACTGACAGAAGGTTTTTCAGCAGGAACCTTGAAGGTTTTTCAGCAAAAACCTTTTTGGCTTTTTTTTTTTTTTTTTTTTTTAAGATTTAGGGGGTACAAGTGCAGGTTTTTTATTTGGGCATATTGTATAATGCTGAGGATTGGCCTTCAACTGATCTTTCACCCAAATAGTGAACACAGTACCTCATGTGTAGTTTTTCAATCCTTGCCTCCCTCCCTCTCTCCTTTTAGAATCCCCAGTATGTATTGTTTTTCGACCTCTTGACCAAACGCCTCAGTCTCCCCCTGCTGGAATTACAGGCGTGAGCCACCACGCCCACCCTGTTTTGAGAGGAATTTTAAAACACTTCTGACACAAATGTTTCTGGAGATGTGTACATCTGGATTAACAATTTGCCTTTGTTTAGAAAAATAAGAAAGAAGGGTGCCATAACAATTTAAATATATTCTTATTTTATATCATTTACCATGAAGCTGAGTTCCTATGTATGTCTATTTAATAAAATTAGAAGTAAAAATGGAATTTGCCAAAATAATTTAAGTCCAATCTATTCTTGTTTTTTTGTTCTGTCATTAAAAAATGAGTTTCTGTAGGGAGCCGGAGTAGCACATCCCCTCACGGCTGCTGTGAACTTTGGTTGAACTTCAGGGAAGTGAAACCACAATAGGAGGATGTGTATGTCTCAGAGAAGAATAAAAGGGCCTAAAGAGATAACTAGCTTTCGCTGACCTTGCTGCAAGATAGTTTTTAGCTGAAGTATGTTAACTGAAGTGTGAGAATAATAACCACAGGCTGTTCTAAGTAACTGCACCCTCCCTCTGCTATGTGCTTTGTGAACATATAAAATAAAGTACGCTGAGATAGGTCAGGGCCGGAGAGACTGACATCCTCACCTCCCGGACTGCCTGGCCCAGGTTTTTATATCTCTCTGTCTGTGTCTATGTCTTTCCTTATCCCCCACTGTTCCCTCTTAGGTCCTTAAACCCCTGTGCAGTGCAGGACATGGCACATGTTTCTGTCCAAGTCTACCTGTTAAAGGAGAGGTAGAGCTTTTGCTGAAGGAGATACAAGGTTATTTTCTGTAATACTGAAAAGTTTGTTCTAATGGCTTTGAGGACTGTTAACTTGAACCTTAAGAATCCAAATATTTGTTATAAGACAGTACTTTGGGCTGGATGTGGTGGCTCATGCCTAGAATCCCAGCACTTTGAGAGGCTGAGGCAGGAGGATTGCTTGAGCCCAGGCTTTTGCAAAATGAAAAGCATAATGGCTTTTCATTTTGCTTAGGTCAAATGGCAAAACCCATTTCTACAAAAAACACAAAACGTAGCCTGATGTGGTGGCACATGCCTGTAATTACAGCTGCTCAGGAGGCTGAGACAGGGAGATTGATTGAGCCCAGGAGGTCAAGGCTGCAGTGAGCTTTGATGGTGTCACTGCATTCCAGCCTGGGCAATAGAACAAGACCCTGTGTCAAATCTCAAAAAAAAAAAAAAAAATGTATTTTGTTAAAATGTTTGACGTAAAAAAATAGAATCTAACCACTTCTCCCACCTCTGCTACTGCCATGGTCCAGACCAGCATCATTGCTCACCTGGACTCTCCTAACAGCCCCCTAACTGACCTCACTGCTTCACTCTTGCAGCCCGTCCTCTACCTAGTAGACAGAATGACCCTGTGGGATATGCATGGGCTGCTATCAGTCTTCTCTCTTAACCTTCCAGTGGCTTTCTCCCTCTTTAGGGGATCAGTCAAGTCCATCCTGCAGCCTCCAAGACCTACTAGATCTAGCCCTCTGCTCCTGTTCCCACTTCTCCTTCCCTTTACCCACTCTCCTCCAGCCACATTCTTCTTTGCACTTATTCCTCAACACACCAGGCAGGTTTCAGCCTTGAAGCCTTTATGTTTGTGGTTCCTTTTGCCTAGAATGCTACTCCTTCAGGTATCTACATGATTCTGCCTTCAGGTCTCTGTCCACGTATCAACTTGTCAGCAGAATATGTAGACAGTTTATAGATAAAAAATGAAAATGGTTTTTAAAGATATAAAAGATGTTAAACCACACTCAAAAGAAGAGAAGGGTCACATGAAAACATCATTATGACAGCATTTTCCAACTCTTTAGTTGGCAAGAGGCCAAAGGTTTGGCAATATGCTCCGTGGGAGAGGTCGTGAGGAAATAGACTGTCTCATGCACTGCTGTGGAACACAGTTTTTTGATAGGCTGTTCATTTCAGCACTGTTTATAATAGCAAAGGACTGCAAACAACACAAATGTCATCAGTGTAGGGACTGGTTAAGTAAGTGAAGCTACATCCATAGTGGAGTACTATGCAGCTGTGAAAGGAATGAGTAAGACCTGTATATACTCCCGTAAAATTCTCTCCAGGGACAGAATAGTATTTATAAAATTGGACTCTTTGTGTAAGAAAGGGGAGAAAATACAATTGTCTATTTTGTGTGATTTTCTCATACCTTCAAAAGAAACAATACAAAGATGAACGAGAAACTAATAAAAATTGTTAGTTATGGAGAGGGAAAGAGGAAGTTAGAGGGAAAAGGGATAGAGGATAGACTAACTGTATCTTTTTAAAAGTTTTATTTTGGAACCATGTAAATGTTCTCATAAATCTAAAAATTAAATCAAATGGGAAAAAGGAATCAAAAAAGAAAAACAAATGAACATAACTCCATATCAAATTAAAAGATTAATAAACACATACAGCAGAATTATCTCAAGTGACTTTAAAATATATCCACGTGTATAATGCTACATAGGAATACATCCTATGAACATAAATACTCACAAGAAAATCTTAAATTATATTGACTGTCTCATTATTGATTGGTAATACTGTCATAGTTATTTTGACACTATTGTATATAAATAAGCAATTTGCATATGTAAATTAGCATTATTCACAAATTGCGTTATGTAAATAATGCTAATGTCTAATGTCATTAGACACCATTATTTGTAAATGAGTAACAATGCTAATGTCATACTCATTTTCCAGTTTCAAGATAGTATTCTCACAGGATTTTTAGTGTAAGATAGCAGAAGTACAAATATAAAACTGACGTAAAATGTTTGCATTCTTAAATATAAATGTGAAATACCTCAATGCATAATTGTTTTTATTTTTAAAATACGTATTTTCTAGTTCCTGCCACTGAAAACACCTGAAAGAAATTACAACTCGATAGCAATAGCAAGGGAGGACTCCTACTTCTCACACTGTGGTCTCTAAATGCCATTTTCTGCTAAGAGGAATCAGTGCTCCTCAGGATAATGGCTGATTGCTGGCCTGGGGCAGGAAATGTTCAAGATGAACCAGGAACAATTTTTTGTGCTAGAGCTGGTCCTTATATGTTAGAAACACATGAAAAATTTTTATAGGTGAAATGTTTTTATCTTCCTTCCTTCCTCTCATTCTTTCCCTCTCTCTTCCTTTTTTCCTCTCACTCTCTTTCTGCCCATTCATCTCACTAGAAGATAAATTTCATCAGGTCAGATACTAGATGTTTTTTCTTTGCTGTATCCTCCTCAGCACCTGTAACAATGCTTGGCGCAAAGTAGACATTTAATAAACATTTGCTGAATGGATGAATGGATAGTTGGATGGATGAAGGAATTAGCCAGAAAGGGGTTGTTTAAATTATCTGGATCAAATGTCCATATATTGACAGGTTCAATATCCTTTCACTGGAAGGCAGTCTTTACCGGGCTTACTGAGTGGCCCACAGACCACAGGCATCAAAGTTACCCAGGATGCTTATTAAAAATGCTTATCACTGGGCTCTTCACACCAGATCTACTGAACCAGAATCTTGCAGTATAAGGCCAAAGAACCTGCACTTAAACCAGCATTCCCAGTTGACTCTTACACATAAGTTTATGAACCACTGCTTTAAGTGAAATGGAATATGACCATGGACCCTACACTGCCTGTGGAGGCATTATAAGCACGCAGGCCCTTCTTAAATTAGAGTCGCCTTTCAGCTATACACAGCTAACACGGTAGCTCATAATCAACCTCCTGGCTGTTTAACTCTGCTCTCACCTGGGAATTTAAAAAGGAGCAAAAATTTAAAACTATGGTGCCCTACTTTTGACCATAAGTAACTGGAAATTAGTTTGGGGTAGTCTTGTTTTTCCAAATTTAGAATTAAACATTTTAGAAACACTTTCTTTTCAGTCATTATTCTATAATTAAAGACAACTTGAACATTGCTCATAATGGCTTTTCATTTTGCTTAGGTCAAAGTTTTAACATTCTCTTATTCAAGATCCTTTACCAACTCACCAACCTATCTTTCCAGCCTTCCCCCCAGAAATCTCCTCTTCTGCCCCTGGCCATACTAACCCAAAGACTTTTCATTCATTTCTGCCTCTGCCCTTTTACTGAAGTCATTCTTCCTCTCCAGCAGGCTCTTCCCTTTTCTTATTAAATCACCAAGCATTCTTCAACTGACACATCCCCCCCAAAAGCCTTTCATGTCTAAGCATCCTAGCCGGATGTGAGCTCTTCCTCCCAAACTCCTCCCAGACTAGTGATTTTTTCCCACCTGTTCACATTTAACTCTCATCCACTGCTTGGCATTGATAATTTTCTCTTCATGTGTTTTGCTTCCAAGGCCCTGTTCCACATACCTCTCAGTAAGATATCAGGCCTGATAGGTATATTGTCAGGCAGGAAGTAAGCAGATCAGTAAATACGAGATTCTTTGAAATTCCCACAGGATTATTTGATCCTGTTTTTCACCTGCTTAGCAAGCAGAACACACTGTTAATTATAGAAATAATAGTTGATTAATGGCCAAGCTGGTCAGAAAGAGAGCCCACTATCATTGCTCTTTCTGATTCATGATTGTGCTGGAAGTTTTCGTGGACACCCTGTGAACAATGCTAAATCTCAGCCAGTGACTTACCAATGAGGGCAATTAGTCCCCAAAACACCACAGAGGATAGCATGGTGGGGAATCTTATCTTCCAGGACCTGTTCTGATTTGAAATAGAAACCGGTTAATTTTAAAACTTGAAAGTTTCCTAAAGAAAAATTTGCTTTCATATTTTAAAAAATGCAGAGTTATTTCCAATTCAGTACTCATTTTCCAGTTTGAAGATAGTATTCTCACAGGCTCAGTACATGGTTTGTTGGATCACTGTCTTTCCTAAGTATAAACTCCCAACTCACTTCAATCCAATTTCATATTGACACGGGCTACGCATTTCTTCTTACTTATGTAACCAAATATACACTTCTATCCCATCTCTAAGCTTGGCGACCCCACAATTTTGTTCCCTCTATTTAAAAAAAAAAATACTGATCCTTTTATTCTAGTTACTTGCCCTGCCTCTGCTTTCAAGGATCACTTTGGTTTTTTATTTGTTTGTTTAGAGATGGGATCTTGCTCTGTCACCCAGGCTGGAGTGCAGTGGCATAATCAGCTTACTACGGCCTCAAGCTCCTGGGCTTAAGCAATCCTCCCATCTCAGCCTCCCGAGTAGCTGGGGGCCACACGTGCATGCCACCATGCCTGGGTGTTCCCATTCTCATACTAGGGTCTCCATAGGGAAAACAAAATAAAATACCAACAGGAGCATCAGAGAACATAACTTAGAAGAGGTTTCCTGTTTTCCATTTCTTCCTCAATCAACTCTATTCTTGGTCTCATTGAAATGGTAGCTTATAAGTTTCACAAGATATAAGAAAGCCAGCACTAACCTTGTTTGCAACCTTACAGAGAAAATACCCCCTCTCTGTCTGCAAAGGTCTTCTGTACTCAGCAGCAAACTGCACTTCAAGCTTTCACAAAGCGGTGGCCTTTGTCCTATAACATAGGTTTAACAATTGGAGAATCCATTAGTCAGTAGATCACTGCGCACCTGGCTTCAGCTGAGTAGACATCAGTGGGGTTCTACTGCTGTGGAGGAAACTTTTAAACACAAGCAGGAAGACTCACCCGACTTTTCTAACCTCCGTCTTGTACCAATGATCATTAGAGGAGCTTTATATATGGTTTAAAACCCTCTCTTTAAACCACTGACCTCATTAGGCCTGGTTATAATAGTACTTTGGACTTAGGTGACCCCATTAATAAGAGGATTTCAAAGAGTTTATTAACCACTATTAATTAATTAACCTAATGAACCCCCAGGTTGCTCAGGAGGCATATTTTGATAGATTGTTTCCAGATATCTAAAATTATTCCAAACAGCTTCTAAATTTGTGAATAAAGAGCAGATAATTTGCTTTAAAAAGATAATAGGAAATACTATGTTTCCAGATATCTAAAATTATTCCAAACAGGTTCTAAATTTGTGAATAAATAGCAGATAATTTGCTTTAAAAAGATAATAGGAAATACTAGCAATTGTTATTCTTGAATTGGTTATTTACCTGAAATGCTGAGTCTCCTGCTCTTTGTTCCCCATTCCAATGTCACATGATCCCCATACCAATATGGCACATGATCTCAAACCACTATGTTACATGGTCATGATGGGTGAACTTGGCTCCTTACTCCAATCCCACTTCTGACAAACGGGTGCAAGTGTGGCCTCCTGCTCTGGGAGATCCAACTGCAAAGGATAGGGGAAAAAAAGATTTAGCCAGGGATAAAAACTTCTTCTAGGAGAGACTATCTTTCTTCAGGCTTATGTCCAGAGGAAGAGAGAAAGCGCATTGTACAGCCCCAGGAACAGGAAATGGAAAGGACATTTTTGAAACAGAAAAAGTACATTGCCCTGAGGGGAGGGAGAAGTCTGGTCTGGGTCCTTCCATAAGTGTAGCAAGTTTCTCAGACTGCGCACAATCCTCCCCCACATCCACGAAGTGAAGAAAGGTGCAAGGCGGCTGTATGGGAAATGGGAAGACAAAGCCACAGGCAACTTTCCAGCTCCCTGGCAATGAAACAACCTCCACTCCCAGGAGAACATGCCCTCCCCAAGCTGGGGTCTGCACAGTCCACTGGCATTCACTTCTGCCCTGCCTGCCTTCCTGCTTGTAGAACAGACTGCCGTGGCACAGCCTCTAGCCTTTGTTCTGAGCCGATGGATGATTCCTGCTTGACTCTCAGGAAAGCTACCCATGGAGGGTCTGCTCCACCACCATCAACACTGCAGTCAGAACCGCTCCTGAATAAGGGATATTGCAGGAGTCTAACTGCCCTCAGGCAGGCCTTACGAACACGCAGCCTATCACCAACGACATGCGCCCATGACCCACTTCACTGCAGGGTGAGTAGAGCCACTTACCTGAGGCTTCCAGGCTAAGTGCAATAAGAAAGTTCAAGAAAGGGAGATTAAGAAGAAGTTAAGAAAGAATTATAAGTTAGGTAAAAGAGAGTAGGTGGAGGCTGGAGCTGTCCGTACATGTACTGGAGGAAGAAAGTGTTAATGAAACATTTAAAGCACTGTTGAATGTGAAGAATACTTATCTTTCTGCTCTCAGTTATGGGGCTACGAGTCCTTCTAGGTATGGGGGTCTTAATGGTCAGGATGCTGTAACTCAACCAATCATTTTCAAACTGATGTGAATTGTTCTGTTCACTCAAACTGTGAGAGAACAATTGAACATTTATTTGATACCCAATATTTGTCAGGTTCCTATGGATACTATATGACTCAATCCTCCACTGGCCCTGTGAGGCAGGTATTAACCCTTATTTTAGAGACGAGGAAACTGTGACTCAGAGAAGCTAGGTAACTTGTCAAAGATGGCACAGTTAGCATGTGACAGAGCCAGGATTTGAACCCAGGTCTGTAAGATTCCAAAATCCATGCGCTTCCACTATATCAGAAGTGCCAGCATGATAGACAAATGACCCTGCAGAGCAATTGTTGCAACAGGTCCAAATCAATCTAGATACAAAGCGTTGTCTGTGGTCTGGATAAATAATACCAGTCACAGGTTTTATACCATTATCTTTCAAGTGTTTGTAGGTGCTGTTGAAATTTCCAAAATACAAATTAATGTGAGTTAACTAAGTCCAAAGTGGTTTTTTGTCACTTTAAATTTTCTCCACCAGTAGAAATAAGGTAGTTAATTGAACTGACCTTCTATGGTATGGTTGGTAGAATAATAGTAAGGGGCATGACCTAAGTTTATTATACTCTAAAGCCCAACTCTTAACTGCTGCAATACCCTACTGACCCAGTCAGTGGATGGTTAAGTGAGTGTACTATTGTATAAGGATCTTAGAAATTACTTATCACTAAGAAGAAATATACTGACTAATTCTTCATCTCTTCTCAGAGATACCAAGAATGAGTTGTACTTGTGAGTTGTACTGATATTTCCAGGAGGGGCTTGAGGGGACCTTGGCACCTGTCATAATCTCCATTAGTCCCCATAACTTCCCCAAAGTAAAAACACAATCTATATGTAAGCAATGTCTGTGCTATACAAATAAATCTCTATGACCTTGTCCCCGCCCCTTTGAATCAGTTGCCTGCTCCTAAGACTCTTCAGTGCCACAATTCTCTGGCAGCCTCTGGGGAGTCCTAACAGATTTGGGGTTCCTGACCTCAGTGGTGGGGACTCAAATCATCCCTAATGACTAAATTGCCTCAGCAATTGGGAAACTTCAATGGAAAAGTTTAAGTAGTACTATCCTAATTAGGAGGAGAGGAGTGATTATGAAAACTGAGGTACGGTGTATACCCAGGGAAGTAATTCTGGTGGGGGTTCCTGATAAGACTTCTCCATTCATATCACACAAAGACCTGCCCTTGTCCCTGACCTACCTTAGGTCAGCGCTTTTGGGAGTTAAAGGAATCCAGCATCTCGGGCTCGCTTGGTTCCCTCGCCCTCTGCATCCCCACTTGCCTCCTTCCCAACACTGGTCTGTGGTAATAGAGACTGGGTTGTCTCCACCATGTCATTATTTGTGAATCCCAGGCACAGCTCTCCTTTCTCAGGAACAACAGGCAAGGAAGATGACCATGGCCAACTCATTTAACCTCCCTGAGCCCTAATTTTCCTCATCTGTAAAATGGAGATGGTAATAATGCCCCACAACTTTGTTTTGAAGATAAAAATAAATTTTATACGTAAAAACATGCTATAAACTACAGTGCTTCATAGAGATGCCAGTTACTATCATGATGGGTTTGTACTCAGGTCCTGATGGCTTAGCTTCTTGTTGATTTATTCATTTGCTTGTTTATCCATGCACTCAGAAAAAATAATTAACAGCTGAATTATACGACAGGAAGTAGAAGGTGAAGTCTCTCTTCAGCCATGAAGGAAACTTGATAGGACAAGCAAGAGCTATTCATTGTCAGGACTCTGTAGCCTGCCTGGTAGGAATGGAGGAAGGATAAGTTCAGAAAAGATGAGGAAGCTGCCCAAGAATATATAGCAATGGCACTTTGGCATCAATGGCTGGTGAGAAGGCAGAAGCAGAGCCCTTCTGTATAATTTCACCAAAACGTTCAACTTAACCCCAGGATATTTCAATGTCAGGCTTGAACTGCTGAGTGCTTTTCTTGTCTTGGCTTTAATCTACTATATGATAGGTAAAATGCATACCATATTGAAGCAGACATTTACATGGTTGCATCATTGGTCTTCCAATGTCAAATATTTGACCAACATTTCAGAAAAGAAGATATACCAATGGCCAATAAAGCTCATGAAAAATTGGTAAACATCTTTAGACATCAGGGAAATGCAAAATAAAATCACAATGAGACAGTATTTCGTACTCACTAAAAAGGCTAAAACCAAAGACTAGCTATATCACATATTGGCAAGAATATGAGACAAACAGAACTCTCATACATTGCTGGTTGGAATGTAAAATGGTATGATTGCTTTGGAGAACTGCTTAGCAGTTACTTAAAAAGTAAACATACTATATGACTCAGGAATTTTATTTCTAGTCATTTATCCAAGAGGAATGAAAACAAATGTCTCCCCAAAGACTTGTACAAGAATTTTCATAGATTGTAAGTTCTGCAAAGAAAAAGGAGAAAAAAAGAATTTTTATAGTGCTTTATTCATAATAGCTCAAAACTGGAAACACTCCAAAAGAGTTATCAATGGAAGAATACCAACAGCTGTAGTATAATCATGTAATGTAACAATACACAGGTTAAAAAAAATCCAGGAAAAAATTCCTATTTTTTTCTGGTCTGGTGCCCACCTCTGATTATTCAACCATGTCTATTAATATATTTGTTTGAAAAAGGGACTCCCTGTGATTTGGAAAGGAGAAGGGAGAAGTCTGAAACAAAATTTACAAATAACATTTTTATTTTGAAATAGTTTAAATTTCACAAGAAGATTCAAAAATAGTACCAAGAGTTCCCATGTGCCCTTCACCCAACTTCCCCCAATGGCAATACCTTACATAACTCTAGTACATGTCAAACCCAGAACCTTAGCATTAGTATTATACAATACTATAAACTTAGGTACAGACCTTATTTGGATTTCCCCAGTTTGTTTTTACATGCTCTTTTAAAAACATATATATTTATTTACATTTCAGAAGTGAATAGTACTGTGAACGTTTAGCCCATGTGTAGATGCAAGTAACCATCATCATAATCAGGATATGGAGCTGTCCTGTCACCATAAAAAGACTGCCTCATGATATCCCCTAACTATGTCTTTCATTGTGCTAAAAGTAAGCTTTTTTTTCAGACAGAGTCTTGCTGTTGCTAGTCCAGGCTGGAGTGCAATGGCACAATCTCAGCTCACTGCAACATCCACCTCCCAGGTTCCAGCAATTCTCCTGCTTCAGCCTCCTGAGTAGCTGAGATTATAGGTGCCACCAACAGGCCTGGATGATTTTTGTATTTTTAGTAGAAATGGGGGTTTCACCATGTTGGCCAGGCTGGTCTCGAACTCCTGACCTCAGGTAATCCACCCACCTCGGCCTCCCAAAGTGTTGGGATTACAGGCATGAGCCACCACGTCCAGCCAAGTAACTTATTTTTTAAAAACAGCTTGATTGAGCTA